GACAGTTTGATGAAGTTAAGGAGAATTTGTAAGGGTCTAGGGAAGCACTATAGTTCCAATGGTATACATGAAATGAATTCACTCAAGTTGTGGAGTGCCTCAGGGTAATTATTTGGCACAAGATTATATTCAACCCCATACTGTAACATTAATCAGTGTGAGGGAAGATGTGAAGAAATTGAGGGTGCTGCAGACTGTCACGCAAATTCAAAATGCAGGGTTACATTTTGGCGCATACTTAAGTTAGAGTTTTCTTTCAGACATGTTTACGGTGACTTTTCAAACTTTTATGTGGGAAGCGCCAAAATTAGCCATAATTAACTATCAACGACATCTTTAATTCCGAACAAGTTGGTAATGAACTATCTAATTTATTCCCTAGCTTAAAATCGCCTATTAAATCATAATATAAATATAAATTTGTAATAAAATAAAAATACAAAAAGCTTTTTAGCAAATACTTTAAATTAGTTCTGTAACCTTCTACACTTGGAGAGCAACGGAAGAGATGCTAGTTTAAAAAATGTAGGTGTCACTTAACATTAGAAACGTCGTTTAAGCCCAGCAAACCTTACAACTGTTCTAGGCCTCATATATTGTGGGGGCTTAAAGATGTGATGTGGATATATTCGTTCTTCCCTTTTTTTTATTACAAGGCGGGAGAGGACCAAAGTAAAAAGTGTCAAAAGGATTCTCGCAAAGATCGACAGCTCCTTTTCACCTGCTTGTGTTATGCAAAAATGTTTTTATATTACTAAATATTAATGTGTCTTTCTTTTTTTTAATTTAAACATTTTTGGGGTCTTAAGTACACAGTAAATAAATGAATTTTTAGAAAAAAAGAAGAAGAAATGGTTTCTATCACACTCAAAAGCACGGCTGACCTCTCTTTATACGTTAAACGCAAATGAAAAAAAAAACTTGTGATAATCAACTTACATGTAATAATAACCTTGGCAAAATATTTCCAAGTTTTACCAGTGTAAGAAAGAAAAAACAACATTATTTAATTAGAAAAGTCAATACATTTTTATGGGTTCTCAAAACTGGTCGTTTTTATAAATAAATGAAGGGACTGCTTTCAAGCTAAGAAGAAATAAATAAATGAAGGGACTGCTTTCAAGCTAAGAAGAAATAAATAAATGAAGGGACTGCTTTCAAGCTAAGAAGAAATAAATAAATGAAGGGACTGCTTTTATATTTTCATTTCTATTGTTGGCTGAGGAAGGCTTTATGCCGAAACGTCCTTGTTTTTTGTCCTGTTACCTTATTTCAAGCTTCCACATACCTCGTTTCACTATTTCATTCGTTTTTATAAATCGTATATGAACGTCTTCAGTATTTAAAGAAGGCAGGAATTGTTTACAAAATAAAGTAACTTTTCCCCAATATTGGATTTTCAACTACTATATATTTGTTCAAATAAATTATAAATTTTCACTTAGGTATACTTTAAAAAATTGTATTCCTAAATCCACATAATTTATTTTTAATAGACACATTAGTGATAAGAATTTATACTAAAACAAGTTCAATAAAATATGGAATTTGCGTGATAATTTTTTTTTTTGGCTTTCTGATGAATTCTCAACCCCAAAAAGTATTAATTTTAAAAAATCAGTGCAAACAGTTGGGGCAGTGTTTTTTCTTTACTATTTTGATATTAACGAGACAAAAGCAGAAGGGAATCTAATAAATATAGTCAAATTTTTTTTTTAAACCTATGTTATTCAGAAAACTTTCTTATTGAAGTAACGCATTAAAAGAAAACTCGAATGCTTTCAATATAATACATGATGAAATGTGGATTATTGGTATGCGCCCGTTAAATTCTTAATTACACAAATTCCTCTCAGTTTCCAAAAGTTAGCATTTTTTATTATTTCCACATTCACGGAATCAAGTACATTTATGATTATACTATTATTTGTTTTCGAAGCCTAATGTCATCACACAATTTAAGCACCTACCCCTACATTAAAAGTAAGGCTTTTATCATAAAGTATAATTTGAAAGTAGATTGCGTATGTTTGAGACTTAGCAAGTGCTATAATTAGAATTATAAACCTTGACATTACTGTAAGCTAGTTTAATACAGTGTCGCTAAGTCTTAAAATGTGTGAAGTTGCCAAAAACATAATTGAACGAAAATAGTGATAAGTGCGAACAACGGTGAAGTAAGTTTTCGTCTTATAATCAGGCGCGTCCTGTACGATATTAAAATCGAATACAGTGAGCCTTTAACCAGATTAGCCTTATATATACAGATCAACAAATATATCGAATGTAACGATATTTCATAGATTCAACTACTTGTAATCGGCTTAAGGCGCCAGTTACTATTCTTTTCAAAACTGTTTTAAAATGACAATTTAATTGTTTTTAATTTTTAAAATATATAATCTTTATATTGTTGTACAAATTTTGATCGCGGGAGTGAGGGCACTTAACTTTCCCCGGGATTCAGTGCCCCTCCCCCCTACCCTCTGGAGAGATGCCTGAAAAAATCCTTGTCTGTATTTTTCTATGTGTATCAATGTGCCGACAAGTTTATTTGTTTATTGAAACTTGGTTTGTTCTTTGTTTATATTTAGGTATGAACGCGTGTCTGCTGTAAGAACAGATAGAATCAGTGCGAGACAAAGAAAAAATGGCGTAAACGAAGATCGGATTGTGAAGAAAAGCAAAAATATTGAATCTACACCCTCACATTTTTTGTTAAGTTTTAATCATAGCAAGCATTGTAAGTTGAAATCGTAAGCAGCAAACAAGAAAAAATATTAACAAATTAAGAACTAGAATAAAAGAAAATAATTTTTAGTTATAATTATATAATTAAAATCATACACCTCATATATTTGTATGTGCAGCTTGGAAAATAAATTATGGAAATAAAATTAAACTACACCTCTTAAGTTACCAATAACGAACATAATATAAAAATTTACATTTACATGGTACGACATGATAAGTCACGCACACATGTATATATAATAAAGTAATAGGGTATCATTTCATTGGCTTGTCTTGAAATGTCACGGTGGCAAATAGTCCCGGCGACGAAACAGTCGGCAACAAAACGGCATCGGTGAATTATCCCAACCCCAACCGTCCGGAGGTGTAGCGATGGAGGATTGGTTGGGGGGGGGGCATATGTCGCCCAGCACCAAGCTGCAGGGACACCAAAATGAGGCTTACAATAATTACAGTGTTACATTCTAATAAGCAAACAAGGGTAATAAATCGGACACACGATCGGTGCAGCGGCTCATCAGACGTGTCATCTGATAGCCTACTTATTTTGTCGCATTTGCGTGCGTCAAAAGGGACAGGATCTTCTCAGCGAACTTGGTCTTCTTAGACTTGAAAGAGAAACATTGGGAAAAAAAACAGATTTTGATTGCGTCATTCACCAGTTAGTGACAGTGAAATAAAAACAAAACAAAAAAAAAACAACTTTTGGTGATTATGTGAACCATTTTAAGACAATGACTGAGTGGTTCATGTACTATAATCTATAAATTTTCTTCTTTCATTACAAAGTTTTATTAAAATTTAAATAGTTTTCCTTATTGAATGTAATAGAAAAATGTGATTTAACGGGGAGGGGTCTGGGACGCCAATTTATAGTTGGTTCCCAGGCACAAAATATCATAGCTACACATTTACATCCATCAAACAACAAAATATTGCAGAAATGAATATCGGTTTATTCGATAATTAAAAATAAAAATGTGAATTTTGTTCGCAGAAATTATATTTTCACATTTCAAAGAACGAAGATAAATTATTACTTTCAGTAATATTTATTAGTTGGATATTGTCTCAGAGGGAACATGACATATCACTGTATGTGTTGGCTCATTTTAAAACTATAGCTATATCTTAAATTCCATATTGTCCACACCGTTAATTTGTACCATGCATAAATACTTTAAAAATCATGGAATAATGGCTTTAGCCTTCATTCGAAAATATTTTTTCATTTTAATTTTAAATAAGATTATGTTACAATCATTTATTTAATTTTTTTTAAAATTTTTAAAATTAATAATTATGTTCTAAACCAGTGTCGGAAAATTAGTTTCTAGAGCGTTGACACAATGTGCGCACCCAATTGTGTGAATTTAAACATGTCTCAAAACTCAATGAGGTAAAGTTGGAAAGGGGAAGTAGTGGCGAAGATTTTCTTTAAAAGTAAGGACAACGTAATTGCTCCTATTTGCAAAATACAGTTTAGGTACGAGGATAATGTGTGGGCACCTTTATAATAAAACTGTACTGTAAACATTTTGTGAAAATGGATCAAATTTGAAACAGAATGGATTTAGAAAGGTAGACTTCTATACATGGATAATTCTTCAATACTTAACTTCTATACATTGATCATGTTTTAATACTTGACTTCTATACATGGATAATTATTTAATAACAAGGAAAGTGTGATTTACTATCTCCCAATTATTCTTTTAAAGAATGTGGAAATGTTTCATTATTTTCTTTTGAGAATGTAATACATTTTGATCCCCATTTAGTTACATACGTAAAAATTTGATTTTTAGATATTGAAAATTCGGAAAACAGGCAGACGGAATCGCAAAATGCCTTCACTTATTATTCGGGTAACATTGGGTCATAAAGTCCAATTTATAATAATGATTAACACATTATTTTATTTATATAAAAAAACGTAACTAACGAATGAAGAAAAATAACTTGATAGAAAATGTAACATAACAATGGGCAGGAGAGTAATTAGGATAAAAAATTGTAATATTATTGCCTGAACTACAGTAATTAAACCATATTTTAAAACATTCTATAAATATTATATGAAACATTTCAATTAATTTACAATGTTTAAAGATATAAACTTCTTCAAATTGCTGAACTAATACTTATTTCATAAAACTCAAAATTAAACGAACTTGTCGTCTAAACATATCAAAGAATATCTTTTTATTGATAAACAATTAATGAAACACTTAAAACATTGCTATAGTTAATTTATTCATAGAAAAAATAATAATAATATTCCCCAAAATGAATATTAATTTGTAGTGAAAATATTCGAAATTTTTTATTTTTTAAAATCTTATATTTGAAATTTTTAATGTAAAAATTAGTAAAGAGAGACTGGAACATTCAATTGTATCTTATTATTTACTTAAGGAATGTTGCAATGCCAATCATGACAAAGTATCATGGAGATTATTGAAGAAGAGAAACAAAATTAAATTGCTTGTACCCATGCAATAGTGGAATGGTGACAAGAATTGAGAGCTTGTGTGATTTTAAGACAGCCAATAATTTCTGTATGACGACATATTTATATCTTCCCACTTCCTGAATGTCATCCTACTGAAAGCCATTCAGAACTTATAACAAGGCTTGATATAACCATCATTGTCCAGCATGATGTTAGCCGGCAAGGTCGTGCTTTTCGGAGTGTTACCCTGTGCCCTGACGAAACACGGTTTCGGGGTCAAGGACTGACGCGCGCCCCCTCTACACGGGATATCCTTCCACTGGACCTCGGTTAAGAGCGGCGCCCCACTGTTGACGTACGTGCGTGACATGGCACGCCCCATTGAACAGTACAGCTCCTCTTCCCGGGCCTTCTCCTGAAGCGTGACCAGACTTTCGAAGCGGTTGCAGGTGTCGTCATCGTCCAAGCCGTTTTGAATGGTGCAAGGTGTCCACGTGGGAAGCACTGAGGCGGGACGTCGCTTCTTCCACTTCCTCGCTGCACGTCAAAACGAAAGCACAAAATGAATTTTACCATGGCATTTCTCTTCAGCTGTTTCATTACTATTTAGTGTTTAAAGAACAGTTGGCTAAATAAATATTAAGTAATTGCTGTATTTTTTATTAGGCCATTTTGAACTCTACAACTATCGAAAATTGTATCTTTGCCGTCAACAAAAATCATTGTATTACCTATGTGAATATCTGCGATTGTCAGTACACTTAATTTTTTTTTTACCAACGAAATTAATTTTGGCATATTTTACCATTAAATAAAAATAAACATGTTTCCAGCTTAATTTGTTTTTTTTTTTTTTTTTTTTTTTTTTTTTTTTTTTTTTTTTTTTTTTTAAATTTTTTTTTATAGATATTTCCCAACAACTCTCAATTGATTTAACATGTACTTTTTTTTAATGTATAATATATATATATATATATATATATAGGTTCGCGAATTTTACTTTTCTTTCCAGCTTAATTTGTTTTTTGTTTTTGTTTTTTTGTTGTTTTTTTTGTATTTTTTTTAAAATTGTTATAGATATTTCCCAACAACTCTCAATTGATTTAACATGTACTTTTTTTTAATTTATAATATTTATAGGTTCACGAATTTTACTTTTATTTCGCCTCAACTGGCTATTCTGGAAAAGGCTTGTCCACTTTGCTCTAGAAATGATTGTTCAACATTTCGCAACGTTCAGACGTCAAGTAAGTTAAACACTTCTTACAATGTTCTCGTGTAATCTTAAGCACCACGCACTGGGAAGACGTTCATTTTTGTACACCAATCAAAACATTATATTAAATGTTTATGACAAATCTTTCCGCTGCGCAAAGTCATAATAATTTATTTTTTTGATCATAATAGGAAAAACACGAACATGGATCTCCAAATGCATGTATTTCATTGTTCAAAATACGTTTCTTCCACATTACACTATATCAGAAACAAATCTGTTAAAACAAAAAAGAAAATCATTTTAAAATCCTCCATAATTAAAGACATCTCACACCTTATGACACACCACATCCAATTACTACGGCAAGAAATATAATACTTAAGTAAAGAATACGTACCGCTACACAAGCAGAGCACGATCACTGCTACAATCGGAATGACCAGAACCAAGGCTGCCAATGGCACGATGATATGTAGCATGCCTAAGATGTCCTTGCTCGCTGGTTGCGAGTTGTTGACGTTATCTGTTATGGGATACAATATGTAAAAACTTTAAGATCACAGAACACACAATTCTAAATTGTACACATGTGTACGTTTTTTTTTAACCATTTTAACGTCATTCATAAAAAGAAAAGAACAAAAAAAAGGATTAATAAGGCGTTTTTATTGATTTATTGTATTTCTATTTTGTAAGGTCAGATTGAAAACAAGCAACTTACTCAAATATAATTATTAGATGTAAAAAAAAAAAAAGCAAAAACAAAAAAAAAACATCTCCTTTTATTATAAAAGAAAAAAACAAAAAAAAGGATTAATAAGGCGTTTTTATTGATTTATTGTATTTCTATTTTGTAAGGTCAGATTGAAAAAAAGCAACTTACTAAAATATAATTATTAGATGTAAAAAAAAAAAAAGCAACAACAAAAAAAAAACATCTCCTTTTATTAAACATTCAATAATTGAGCTTACACAATTGTTAGGACTTGTTGTGTCTTACCTCTGATTGATGATGCCATCGCATTGGTTACTGTCAATGACACAAACGTTGGTATTAGTTTTTTCTCTCCATGCCTTGTGGCTCCTTCATATGACAATTAATTTCAAAGTGAAAATTAACATTTTATTGTTGATAAAAATCCCTTTTTAAATGCATGAAACTTATTGAAAACCTTATTGAGATAGTTTATAATAAAACACATGTACAATACTGCATTTAAATAAAAATATTTATATACATATATATATCAGAAAGAAACGTTCATATATTTGATCAAAATATACATATATATATATACATATATATAAATGAAACGAAATCATGCTATTATATGGAAAATTCAATATTTTGTATGGGTTTTGTTTGTTGTTTTTTTTTCTTTTTTTTCCATAGGATGGTTAAAATTATACCTTTTGTTGCTTGGTGCATTACTTTGTCATTCTGGGGCCTGATTCTCTGGGACTGCAGGTTTAATTCATGAGTCACGTGGTTTTCACGAAAATTGTAACCAGATCCGATTTTAAAAGAGATGACTGACAGTGTCGGGTCCACACCTGTCATCGTGACATTCAGGTGGTAGCGGAACATGGACCTTGCGTCCCTTCGAGCGGTGAGGCAGGTGTTCACTTTGCACGTCCCGTTCGTCACCCACTCATCGGCGTAGGATACCGCCAAAATTTTAACCCCCACTGATACGTCCACGCACAGTTGTATAGATAAAGAGCTCATATTGTGTCTTGTTGTGTTGACGTGTCGTTTATCTGAGTCACTCATCCGAGGAGGGCCTTTGAGAGAAAGGATTACAATTTAAAATAAGTCTTTTTCAAACCCTTATATATAAAGCTGATATTCATGAAGATTCTGGTAATTTTGATTGAATGATGTCATTAAAAGAAATAGGACAACAAGATTTCTAAGTGCTTGTGAAGAGTTACAAGTTGGCTTTAGTTAGGTAGATGCTGCCGTTAAAAGTATTAATTTTACACTAATCATAAACGTGCATTCAACCAAAATTATAATATAACAGTCATGACATAAACAAAATACATATGAACTGAATTTTAAAAGTACATCATTGGTTTAACTAGGTAAATTTTGCAGATAAAATTTTACAAAACTAACAGTTATTCACGGAGATGCCCATCGTTTGTTCAGAGCTACTGATGGTCGGACTCATCTCTTTCCCATTATGTGGAGACTTGGTTCTGTTTACCAAACACACGTAAGTCCCCATGTCCTGGCATCTGACACTTGCGAAGTGGTAGGTGATTCTCGAGCTGTGTTCTGTATAGTTTAGCGGAGTGCTTCTATTTCTGTTATCCAATAACGTCATTGAGTAGGGTTTATCCTCTGCCTCGCAAATGAGCTGCAGTCCCTGTTGATTCTTGCTCACGGCCACAAAATGATTTTTCTTACTTGAATCAAATTTCGCCTCATATATGGGGCCTGGAGAAAGAAAATGTGATTGCTTTAAATTATTGGTGAAAATATGTTAACTGGTGGCAAAAAATTCTTAAGTGACTTGGCTAATAGTTGATAAAATACATTTACTTAAATTAGATAAAATATTGTATTTAATGCCAGTTTTCAATACTTACCTGTTTATTTTCTTAATGGGAACTCATCAAAACTTAAATTACGTTTCGTTTTTGTTTATATATAAATATATATAATAGCTATTCTATGATTATGTTTACTTTTTTTTTTTTACACTCTATATTTCATAAAACTTTCTTTTACAGATTACAACAAATTCTAAAATCTAAAATTTAATTGACAGCTCATTCGTAAGTCGTGGTATTATTTTGATCAAGACAAATCAGCAGCACGTACATTTGATGGCTATTTCAGCAGAGATATTTTGACTTTCATGAGTGTTGCCTGCCCAACACGTGAACGAACCGGCTTGGTTGCAGCCAATATTCTCTATGGAATGATCAACTTCTGTGACACTTTTCTGTGGGTGTGCATTTTTTCTCACCACCGTGTTTCTTTTGTCGGTGATGACGACATAGGGAGAAGGCTGTCCACTGGCGTAACATCTGAACCGAATGTTGGAGCCTGGCAGCAGCATCAGGGCGTTGTTTTTAATCAGGTCATGCGTCGCTATTTGGTCTGGACTTTTTCCATAGGCAACTTCTAACGTGAAGTTGTTAATCTTGATTCCTTTCAAAAAGAAAAGTTAAATGTTATACAAATGTTATACAAATGTTATACAAATGTTATATAATAATAATGTAAAGCGAGGAAAATTTGGTATAAGTCTTCTGCCTGTCTAATCCTTGTGTGTCTTATTATTATTTTGCCTAATACATTGAAGGCATTCTATAAAATGAATGACATTCTATCTGCCTATCTATTTATCTATCTATCGATCAAAATATCTATCTATCTATCTATCTATCTATCTATCTATCTATCTATCTATCTATCTATCTATCTATCTATCTATCTATCTATCTATCTACCTATCTATTTATCTATTTATCTATCTATTGATCAAAATATCTATCAAAATATCTATCTATCTATCTATCTATCTATCTATCTATCTATCTATCTATGTATGTATCTATCTATCTATCTATCTATCTATCCATCTATCCATCCATCCATCCATCCATCTATCTATCTATCTATCTATCTATCTATCTATCTATCTATCTATCTATCTATCTATCTATCTATCTATCTATCTATCTATCTATCTATCTAGCTGTAATTCTTTCAAGTTTACAATATATTATTTAAGTTTGCACGTCTCATTACAGTACCTTTTGTGGAAGAACAATTTCCATATAAAAACAAACTCCATAATGTTAAAATAATGCAAGGGATATTCATCTTTCTTTTTTTTATTCCTTTGATGTGAGATTTACATTCTCTCTTCTTTTGTTGTGGTTCCTTTTTCCTCTGTTTCCTAAAGCCACAAAATGACGGTCACGGTGAAAATTCTTTATTAAAAAAAAAAAAACAAGAAAACAGTAGGTCAGCGGTTTTCAAGAAACAAAGTAAAATAACATCTGTTGAATGGATTAGTTATTGGAGTATCGACCTTGAAATAAAGTATTGAACACAACAATTTAACGATGACAAAAAATCGTGACTCACAATGATTCAAACGTCTAGTTCTAGTTCAAGTGCTGTGTCAACTCTATCTATGTTGTATTTTTCTATCAATTTATTAATTTTTTTTTTCGTAAAACAAAATCATGTTAAATGGTAATATTCTAATTTTATTGAATACAATGTGCATCCTAAAATATTTAATCAATTTTTTTTTCAATTTTTTCTCACAGCTAATACAAATAACATACAGATATGCCTGCGAATCCTGGACATTAACAGCCGATCTTGAAAGGAAAATAAAGGCGATGGAGATGAGATGCATTAGAAGCATTTTTGGCATCTTTTATAGGGACCATATTTACAATGATACAGTGAAGGAAATGGTTCACCGGGCAATTGGGGAGTACGATGACCTACTGGTGACAATGAAAAACCGGAAACTACAATGGTACGGCCACGTAACAAGGAAACAAGGGCTTGCCAAAGAAATATTGCAGGGCACCACAAGAGGAGGGAGAAGAAGAAGAAGACAAAGAAAAATATCGCAGGATAACATCAAAGAGTGGACAGGACTAACACTGGGCGATGCTGTGGGCAGTGCCGCAGACAGAGTCGAATGGAGGAGGATAGTTCACATGTCATCTGTGGCGCCCCAACGGTCCAAGGACTAAGATATTTCACATGTCATCTGTGGCGCCCCAACGGTCCAATGACTAAGATAGTTCACATGTCATCTGTGGCACCCCAACGGTCCAAGGACTAAGATAGTTCACATGTCATCTGTGGCGCCCCAACGGTCCAAGGACTAAGATAGTTCAGATGTCATCTGTGGCGCCCCAACGGTCCAAGGACTAAGATAGTTCACATTTCATCTGTGGTGCCCCAACGGTCCAAAGACTAAGATAGTTCACATGTCATCTGTGGCGCCCCAATGGTCCAAGGACTAAGATAGTTCACATGTCATCTGTGGTGCCCCAACGGTCCAAGGACTAAGGGACATGAGGATGATGATGAGCTCCCAACTGGTGATTTTTTTTTTTCAATTTAAAAGAAAAAAAATAAGAAGGTTTTAAATGATTTGAAAGTGCGCAACAGTTTTTTCAATGTATGATTCTCACAATTCTGATTTTCCTTTTATTTTAAAGACAGTTTTCTTCTAATCATGAGAAATCGTAATGCTGAGTTTCTCTTACATTTCAGTATGGCGGACAGGGGGGCAAGTTAAGAAATGTAAACAGGGACCGGTGCCAGGTGTATTCGTGTATTGTTTTTGTTTTTAACTTTCAAAATTTTTGTTCTGCAGACCGGCAATATAAGGTTAGCAGGACGGAAACGTAAGGTATTTGGTACGCCTTTTGGGAAACGCTGTCCTACGACTTTGTAAATTTAATTCAATAATTATTTGTACATTTCAAAAGAGCAGACGAATAAAATTCATGTGTAATGTATTTTGGTAAAAAAATACATAATTTTTCAGCAAGCCAAGTAGATGACATACCCTTTGATTGAACGAACATAAGCCTAGTAGATGACATACCCTTTGATTGAACGAACATAAGCCTAGTAGATGACATACCCTTTGATTGAACGAACATAAGCCTAGTAGATGACATACCCTTTGATTGAACGAACATAAGCCTAGTAGATGACATACCCTTTGATTGAACGAACATAAGCCTAGTAGATGACATACCCTTTGATTGAACGAACATAAGCCTAGTAGATGACATACCCTTTGATTGAACGAACATAAGCCTAGTAGATGACATACCCTTTGATTGAACGAACATAAGCCTAGTAGATGACATACCCTTGGATTGAAAGAACATAAGCCTAGTAGATGACATACCCTTTGATTGAAAGAACATAAGCCTAGTAGATGACATACCCTTTGATTGAACGAACATAAGCCTAGTAGATGACATACCCTTTGATTGAACGAACATAAGCCTAGGAGATGACATACCCTTTGATTGAAAGAACATAAGCCTAGTAGATGACATACCCTTTGATTGAAAGAACATAAGCCTAGTAGATGACATACCCTTTGATTGAACGAACATAAGCCTAGGAGATGACATACCCTTTGATTGAAAGAACAAATACATCTGCTTGTGTTGCTTTCCTTTCTTTTTTTCTTTTATTTTTCTCATTTACAAATTAACCGACGTATAAAGTTAGAAAAAAACAACATCTGAAATGATGGTAAACGTCTGATGAGAGACAGTCGTTTAACAAAAAATGTAGAGCTGTTTGGGGGGTGGGGGGGTAACACTGAAGAGATTTATGGGCATTTTAAGGTTATTGGGTTAAGGTGGGAGAATGATCTAGGTAAGCGGTCGTAAGTCAGATGGATGTGTGGCAGTGGAAGGGAGCAGTGCGGACATTAGCCAGTGGTCACAAGTCGAATGGAAGTAAGTTAAGTGGGTTTAAGTCTTGTGGTTATGGGACCTTTTTCAATTCACGTCGGGCAGTTTTTAAATAAGTCAAGTAGAGGTAGGTCGACGTACGTCAAGCGTGCACATATTAAGTGGACTTAAGGGAAAGTGAAGTCAATCAATGTGTGGAGTAAGTCAACAGGGTGTCAGGTAAAGTGTTGTATGTCACTCCACAGAGTATAGTGATGCAATGATATTTGAATATGTTTTCTTTCCAACCAAAAATATAAAAAAAAATTTTCAGAAATTATTTCCTTGCTATATAATATGATTAAGACTGTAAGTCTTGAACTTTGTACTTCAGACAAAAAAAGCTTGATACAAATATGATCAGTAACATAAACACATACAAAATAGTAGATCAAAAATTTGTCAACATTGTGACTATTGGTTGAATTGAAGGTGGGGCACATGACACATAAGCTTATTGGTTATGATTCAACAGTTTTTTAATGAAATTATCTTCAAAATGGCTTGTCTTTAACTATAATATATAATAATTTCTAATTATGTGATGAACAATTGGGTCTTTCAGACATTTATCAATTTGGAATTGTGAAATATGTTGAAAAATGTCTACTTTTTCTACATGTTCAAGAATCAGACAATTTATTTAATCAGCTTTTTTCGTTCTTTTTCTTTATCGTGTGGATGTTGTGTTTAGATCGGATTCGACCAAAATTACACTTATAAATAAATAGATCGAACATTGGTTTCAAAATCGTACTTTGTTAGTTTTGTCTTCTTTCCGGTTCATCCTTATCCTATGTTTCATACTTCCTTGTCGTCTTAGGGCACTCTCAAACAGGGATTCTTAAACTTTTTTTTTTTTGACAGTGCTGAATTTCAATCCCCCTTCCCCCTTTCTCGGTTAAAAAGATTTCCCGCTTCCGCTTTTTAACTAGAGAATATTTACAGCACACTCTGTCTCCAGGAGAAAACAAAAACGTTGCACCATTAGTTAAGTGCAAACATAAATAATTTTTTTTCCCTCTTTAAAATACAATATATTTATATTTTTGTAAGATATCTTAAATGTAGATTCGGGGAAGAGCTTTTTTCACGTTTTTTTCATTGTATTTTAAATTAAATCTTATTCATTTCTTTGTTGTTCTTTTTTTTTTTTTTTTTGCACTTTGGTGTTTCTGTGTTTTTTTTAATATGTTGCAATGGAATTAAGTAAAATGGATGTAAGCCAAGTAGGTTTGACACTTTTACACAACCTTTTTATCTCTCATTTATATAATATTTATTTTCCTTTTTTTTTCTCATAGGTTTGATTAGTTTGCGTTTTACTTTAAAGCTTCGTAGCTCTGTCGGCACCGCGAGGCACTGCCCCCGCAAACCTGGACGTGCGGGCATCCCTGGTGAAGAACTCTGCTCTTACACTAATCATTTCAGTTCCTCAATGTTGTAATTTAATATTGCTTTGAGTGGGCTTTTTTCTATATCTAATCTATACGTCGTGTCGTCGAAAAATAAGGTCAATACATTTTCTGGGACATATAATCATAGACTTTGTTTAATATTAAAAGCCAAGAGTACATTTCCTAATCCATTAAAAAAAATGTAACAATTATGAAACTGTGTTTTATTTGCATAGATGATATTTTAGGACACAGACGATTTGTATTCAGTGTTAAGTTCAAAGCAACCTAGATACTTGAAATGCTGAATGTATTTGTTTGTTCGTTTTTAAGTAATTATTTTCCCATTATAATGTATGCTTTGCACTGCTGGCTGACGCATTCCTTCTATTCAGTCGTATGCCTTTGACTCAGCCAGCAGTCGTAAATGACGACCATTGTGACTCAAGACCATGCATTTATCTCATAAGTAATAAGTTTAACAGAAGATGATGAATATACATTTATAGAAGCATATTAAAACAGGCTATCTATAGAAGGTATTGACGAGCGCCTGGATCAGAATAGTTATGCATTTATTTTTATTTTCAGAACAAAACAAATCAGTACAGCTGTTTGCAAATGAGCGGTCAACCATTTATGAATATTCTATTTCATGTTACAAATTAATATTAATTTACACTATATGTCTAGCGATTTTGGATTGGTGTGCATATGGTAAGAATCATATAATTACTAAAATATTACCAAAAAATATATATATGTATCTCTAGCTTAAAATAAATGAAATAAGAAAATGTCTTCATACAAAGCATTGTTGAAGTAAGGACAAGCTTAAAATAACAATTATATATATATATATTATATATATATAAATCTTGCATTTTGTTACGCAACAGATCGATTTTGATTCATATATAAAGTCTCCTCCTATAAACAAATAAAATTAAAAAGTTTATTTACATTTCGTACCAACATATCTTCAAACAAATGTAAGTTATTTTATCCTGTAATATTATATGCACTCATTTAGTCACACGTAGTCAATTATTTACACAATTTTGTCTTTAAAAAAATCAAGAAAAGAAAACATTTGTGAAAGATCTTGTGAATATCAACGACACATTCGTCTGGATTTGTCGACTAGGAAAAATCTTTTGAGAGAAATAAGCTCTGGTAAGTGCTGGAAACGTACGGTGTGAGCTGACAGCTCCAGTTAACATCACGACGCTGTTTACAGGAAGTATCAGAGTTGTGCGAAGCTCAAATGGACTCCCTGTCTTGCCTGCATTAAATTCTGGAGTCAGACAGCGCTTCCTTACATAACCGTTGCTGTTCAATTTAAGCATGGAGAAAACTAGAAAGGATGCTAATCAAAATGCCGATACAATCAATTAATTGCTATTAGCAGATGACCAATGCATCTTGAATGATAACAAGGAATAGTTGCAAAAACGTTTTGTACTTTATGGAAGGAAAATAAGCGAAGCTAAGCCCGACGTCATGTCAGGTGGGCGGAGTTCATGTCATTAGGTTAAGGTCATGGCATTAGGCTTAGTTTCATTTGGGTAGGCCAAGGACAAAATGGACATAACAATCAGTGCTAAGATGCTCCTGCCAACGTCAGGCGTTTAACTATATGAGAAGAATGTGTAACTGCCTCGGAAAATTGGATAGAGAGATAGAGACAAGAGTACAGCAGACAAATGTAGTCAGCTAAAAAAATTACCTTACTACTAAAACACCCAAAAATAAAGATGGAGAATAACGCTGTCATTATTCCAATCCTTAACTACCCGTGCTAAACCTGTGCTCTGAATAAAAGATTCCAGAGAAGAAAATCCACCTGCGATATAAAATGTCTAAGGCAAGCTGCTAGTAAAACAAACAATTGCAAAATTCGGAACAAGAAAGTAAGACAAAAGGCTGATGCCATGCCAATCAGTCAGTAGGTGACGCACCAAAAAATTAATAAATCAAAACCTGTTAACCAACCAGCATTGCAAGCCAACAGTACCAGGCACTCCAGTGTCAGGGCCAGGGAGGAAACCGCGCCGTTGGTGGACTGGCTGTGTTAACACTTCACACTTTGCGACAATACGTCAACTATACCTCACGGCTACGTCTCCCCGATAACAGTAGACAGAAGATTAAATAATACAAAGAATATCGACATCACGAACAAATTGATAACATATTAATTTGAATCTCTTAGTCAACTACAAACTACACCTATTTACACATTTATGTATGATTAAAGCATTAATTAAATATTTACAATTGATTATCTTACGTTTTATTTTTTTTTTAAATTGTTTAAATGAAATATACAAACAATGGTAATTAGTAGCCTACATACTTAGCGTGCAACTTTATAAAAAGCATTTGCAGTTCATAACTTGGCGGATGTAAGTTCATCTTACTCAATAATAACAGTCAACATCTTTTTGATGTGATTATTTATACATTTCATTTTCTACGTGTGCTTTTTTTTTCTTTACTATGTAAAATCATTTAAAAATTTTATTTAAAAATAGAATTACAAATTTACAAACATTCACAATTTCTTTCCTTTAGCCTCAGCTTGATTTCTACGTTTACCCTTTCATTGAGAAAGTCAAATTATTATACGTGTTTTTCAACTTTTAATCATCGACCCTAACATCGAATATTAGATGAAATTGATTTCCAAATGCTGCTTTTAGTTTAGTAATTTAAAAAATATTTTATCTGGTTCATCTTTTATGTAAAATATTTAATCTATTAGTCTATTAGTTTTTTTTTCCCTCACGATATTTTTCGAAAGGTATTTGCTGCCATTTTTTAATTTATATAATTCATTTTCAAATTGTTATATTAAGTTATCACTTTGAGTCAATAAAAAAAGATAAAAGTGGGTTTGTGATGAGTCCTTTACCTTATCTTTAACTTTGGAACTTAACTATTCTCTCCTGTTTATTCTTTCTCGTAAAATCTTCTGGATTTTTAGACTCTTACTATAACTTATTGCATACTTATGTAGATAGGAATTTTTTATTCATTTCCTTTTTTACCTTCGCCTTGTATGTTTTGAAACCATTCAATTTTAAATAATGCGTAATGAGTGGAAGAAAGACGTCCATTTCAAACTAAAGCTGACATATTCTTGTAATGCTCAAATTGATTTTACACTTGGCTTGATTTGATCTTAAATTGTCGAGTCTTGTCGAAATCAATGTCTGTGTATTGGATCCTCCCAAAGACATTGGGATTGTTGTTCCGCTCTCCTGGATTTCCTTGGATTTGGTTTGGCTCAACTGTGATGTAAGCGATACTTTTCTCAGATCGATATCTTCGGGGTCTCTAATGAAAACATTTTTAATGGTTAAGAGACAACAACATTTGAAATATGTGAAAATAATTCATCCAAGATTTTTAGTAAAATACATTCTTTAATACATTATTTATTTGTTGTTTGCCTTTTGCTGATTGGAGCACATAAAATCTTAAAATTCTACAAGAAATTTAGATTTTTATAATTTTATTTTAATATATGCATCATAAACATTCAAAACACTAGTACCTAAATATGTTTAACTTATATTAATAAAATGATGATTTTGATTTTATTTTTTCAAAGATAGAACATTTAAAATGTGAATCATACAAGTCATCCAGTTTTTAAATCATATTTACATTTCACATTAGTTTTAAACCATGTCAATTGTTTCTTTGCTTACATTAAATTTTAAAATGTATCTGATAATGCGATTGATCCATCAAGTAATTAAATTTTTTGTGATGATAAAATTACAACGCCTTACCCGTGTCTGGATACGGTCAAATTTGAATGATTTGTCTTTCAAGCCATGTCTTCGTTGACTGATGAAAGCTGAGAGATAAGCATACGATGAAAATACAGCTATTTTTTAAAAGTCTGTTTTAATAATATTAATAAGCGGAGAAATAATATCAAATTTACGTCCTTAAATTTAAATGCGCTGACAAACTATAATGATTTTCAAAATATATTTCACAAAGTACAGCTAAATTGAGCCTTAATTTATCCTATAATTGAAATAATTGTCATAAAAAGGATTTATTTTAATTTTTACTATAAACATTTCTTTTCAAATTATAGAGTTGTTACAACCCATAGTGTAAGTTTATTATCTTCAATAATCTAATTGAGCCAGTTAATGGCTATATGTTTTTTGTTTTTTGAAAATACATATTGTTACATATAATATTCTTTACAGCGGTATATTCTATTTAAACAATCAACGTAATAGAACCCGGCTACATTATCTCTGCCTAAACCAGATCTTTTCAAAAACCAAAGGATGTCTTATTTAGCAGCGAAAATTAGGCTTCTTCTAATCCTTAAGGGCCCGCCATCAACGTATTGATCACCCTGGCTCCCATTTGTGTAGAGGGGGCTAGCGATGTTTCTATGCCTGGTATTATAGAGGATATTTCACTGGTTGCAAGTGCTACCCAGGGAGGGTATCAGAAACTGGGGGTAGGAAGGCAGGAGGCAATAGAAGCAAATGCGTCAAGCGGTATCGTCTCAACTGTTCCTCTGGAAGCTTATTCAAATCCCTGATGTTTTTGGCTGAAATGAGCAGTTCGTGTATTTTGTTGTTTTTTTTTTTTTTTTTTTTTTTTGTTTTTAGCCTTTTACTCCGTTTAGGGTAAACTTAAAAACGATAACTCCAGTAAGCAATTATTTGATTACCACTATTTTGTTAAAGTAAGTTGTTTTATATATTATTATATATATAAAATAATGAGAAGAAATAACCCCACCACCTTAAAAAAAAATAATTCCTTTTTACTATTATTATATATAAACAAAGATAACTAAATGTTTGAAATAGATTATCAGCGTAAAACTTGTTAGAATTTTATTTACTGTATTTTTGTTGTAGGTTTCTCGCGAATGCAATTTTAGCCTTACGTAATAAGGAAATGCAACAAAAAAAATAATAATTTAATTTCTTTTTTACTTTAATGTAGGAATACCTATCGACTTTAGAAATTCGGATCTTCAATATTTTTTTAATCTGGTTAAGGCTATCGGAGGACTTACATCCCAGCTCACTGAGTCGCTTTTTGCTCACTTCTTCTATGATTCCCCGATAAGTACTGGGCTGCGGGTGGTCAATATCTAACAGGCATTATTTGGTTGAATACAATAATATTTGCTAATCAGTGGGGACGAAATGACTGCCTAACATCCTTAAATGATTCCCTTCCATTTTGATAATTAAAAATTACATTTTTCATTTAATCCATTCGTTTTGTGACTTAGGCTTTGTTTGTTTTGTTGTTTTTTCTTTGGGGTTGGGGGTGGGGTTTGTTTGTTAGTTTCTTTCCCATTCTTTTTAAATTTTTAATTTAAGTGTTCATGATTACCTTTGTAGGAGTATCGCAAGTAGAACGATATCGGTATCAAGCTTATGATACAGATAATCGATAATGACACATACAAGATCAGTGGTGTCCTATCTGCATTTAGAAATGTATGTAACCATTAGTCAGAAGTTGTATTTCCATTTGACAATACAAATTAAACACAAACATAAAATAATTAATTAAAAAGAAGAAAAGAAATAGACGAGCGGTAAGTTCAACTAAAGAAAGAGACCTTCCAGAGAAACTGATTGGACATGGATAATGTGACTATGCGGATTAGTAAGGCAGGCGACGAAAAGAGATGATACAGGAAATGTATTTGGTTAAGTAGTTAATATGGGCAACTTTAAAAAAAAAAGAAGAAAAAAAATCACAAAAAAGCAAACAGAAATTAAAGGAAAATGAGTTTCTCACCACGTGTAGGCGAAAGTAAGCTATCGGTGGTGTTGTTTGAGTTTGATGATGATAAGGGCACCGTTGTTGGATTGGCCTCGTTTCCTTTTTAATTGGTGACAATATTTTTTTAAATAAAAATTGATGCAATATTAGTGATATATTAAAGCCCTACTTTCTTGTAAAAATTAAGTTCAATTTCTCAACAAAACCTAATCCACGTTTTCTTCATATAGCTGTATATTTTTTTTTAAATAAATGATTTGTATTTACTTCAATTGAAAACATCTTAAGAGAATAAAAGTTTTGTTACATATTATTTTCAATGGTTTTTGGCTTAAGAAAAGAAACTAATAGATGATGTTATAACGAGTTCTCTGCTACATAATGAAATTATTTGACATTTAACATGCACCAAATATTGAAAAATAAAACTAATTGTAAATTGGTGGAAAAAAAGGACTCGGAAAGGGGGTGGGGGGCACAAAGACATTCAGCAAGAAAGATTGAGACGTTCAACACTATTTAGTTTGCATGTGGGATGTAAGAAAGCTGTAAACAACAATGTAGCAAATGATTGCTATGCTAGGGAAGTTGAATACATGACAGAGATAGAAATAATATAATAGGAAAATAGTTTTATAATGCATGTGCAAAAATGTGCGAGACGGTGATAAAGATTGCAATAGAGATATATATTATTTTTAAAAATAATTTGCACAATTAAAACATAACAGATGTATCAAAACTAACTCATGAACCCACCATGCGTATCATTAAAATCCAGTGTCAAATTGACGTTATTTGTTCTAAAATTGTAGCCTGAGCCTACTGTGAAGACAAGGTGGCCATATTTTGGTGAGGGCCTTGATTTGAACGTTACGTTAATTGTGTAAAGAAACTGGGACAAACCATCCCTTCTGTATTCCAGACATGTAACATTTGAGCAACTGTTATTCTGGGTCCAATGACCATGATAGTTGATGGCTAGTATTCGGTTTTTATTTGACAAAATCATGCAAAAGATAACAGATAGGGTATTTCCCGAGTCTGATATTTTAACATCCTCTGTATCACTTTCGTTACACTTATAGATCATTGGAGGACCTTGAACAAACAAAAAACAAAAATTATAAAATATTTTACTATTTTAATATGCAGTGGGTTAATTTATCTTTTGTTTTTTTATAACAAAATTAATTACACATTTAAACATAATCTACTTCTCTTTGGTAAGTTACATTATAGGGCCTACTTACAATTGTTAACGGACAAGTGAAAATATCTTTCAATTTTCCTGTTTAATTCCCCTGATCTATTCGCTATACAAACGTAAGTTCCAATATCGTCACATTCGACTTTAGAGAAGGTATAGGAAATTATTTTGCTGTCTTCAGTATAATTGAGATGTGAGCCTGCATTTCTTTGCTTTAATAACGTAAGAGATGAAATGTTTTCTTTTTCTGAGCATTGTAGTGTTAGGTTTTCTGTTCCTTTTCTCAATGTAACATGCTCCTGGTCAATAGCCATTTTAATAATATTCTCGTTGCCGTTACCTGTAATAAAAATAGCATTAAGTAAAATAGTTTTAATTGAAACGAATCAATATATACTTCAATTTGAAATTATTTTAAGCGTTTTTAGTCTCGATCTATTTAAAGGGCTTTAAAATATAAATCGTCGACTTATTATATTTTCCAAGTGTTTTTTTATTGTTTGATCAATTTATATATACAAAAATATAATTAAATATAAACTTCTTCGGCTAATTCTTGAGGGCCCACGATCAAAGTATTGCTCATTATGTCTCCTATTTATGTAGAGGGGATTCGCGATGTTTCTATGCCTGATATTGACGAGAATACTTCACTGTTTGCAAGGGCAACTCAGCAAGGATGTTAGGAGCTGGGGGTTGGAAGGCCTGAGGCAATAGAAGCTAATGTTTCAAATCCTTAATGTTGTCGCCTCAACTGTACTTTTTTTTTTTAAACTAATAATTCATTAGTATATTGCTAAATAAAACAAATAAATTTAGATCATACATCTATCAGATATGTTTGTTTTTTCGGGTATTATTTGTCAGAACTCCTTATTTCAAGTTATAAATTAAGTCTTGTAATATAAAGTATTTTCCTTTTTCAAAACGTAGTGTGAAGGATTTTTTTTTTTAAATAATCTTTTTACAATTGACAATTATGTCTCTGGTGATGGTCTTTGTTGTTTCCATCTTATTCCCTGCGAAACATCCGTATGTCCCAGATTGGTGGCAATCAATATTAAAAATCTTATGTACAGCTTGAATTATAGTCGCATTAATTTTAGCTTTTGTTGTGTTGTACTTGTCCTTTAAGGAAACAATGATATATCCAACTGTCTCAGAGCTGGCAGAACAAGTCAAGGTCACAGCTGAGTTTCGTTTTATGGTTGGAGGATTTTCGTCCATAAGATCATAAACTGTTCCATTAGTGGCGGAAGGTGTCTCTTTTACACTCATTGTAAATTCTTTTATGTGGATAGACCCTGAAATAAATACATAGAATGTACTAACGTATATACGTATTTGTGTATGTATGTATGTATGTGTGTATGTATGTATGTATGTATGTATGTATGTATGTATGTATGTATGTATGTATGTATCTATGTATGTATGTATGTATGTATGTATGTATGTATGTATGTATGTATGTATGTATGTATGTATGTATGTATGTATGTATGTATGTATGTATGTATGTATGTATGTATGTATGTATGTATGTATGTATGTATGTATGTATGTATGTATGTATGTATGTATGTATGTATGTATGTATGTATGTATGTATGTATGTATTTATGTATGTATGTATGTATGTATGTATGCATGTATGTATGTATGTATGTATGTACGTATATATGTATGTATGTATGTATGTATGTATGTATGTAAGTAAGTATGTGTATGTATGTATATATTTATTTATTTATGTATTATGTATTTATGTATGTATTATGTATGTATGTGTGTACGTATATATGTATGTATGTACGTTTGTATGTATGTATGTATGTATGTATGTATGAATGTATGTATGTATGTATTTGTTTATGTAAGTGTGTATGTGTAGGTATATATGTATGTAAGTAAGTGTTTATGAATATATGTATGCATGTATTGGTGTTTTTGTCTGTATGTATGTATGTATGTATATATGATTTTCTTCTATGTTTGTATGTATTTATGAACGAATGTATCAAGCTATTTATTTATCTTAATAGATATAGTCATCTCTATATATTTAATAGCTACAGTCCGCAATATGCTTGTTTCCCGTCTAATTAAGCTACTTGGACAAAGTATGCATACACGCAAAGCAATTTTTAAGATTCCCAATTAGTGCTACAGCCACCCCAAACCACACCCCAACTATGCCGCCGCCCTTGAACTTTATTTGTATTCCAATATTCCATCAACTTTTTAAAACCGCAAAGTATATATTACACCACAGATTTCCGTAAAAGAAAAGAAAAGATTACACCCTAAACTAAGAATCTCAGTTTGAGCAGTTATCAGAAATTTTATTAGCGTAATGAAATTGTTACATAGAGAAGTATGATTTTTGGTGCGTGGATTGATGGATGGGTGGAAGGATGGATAGATGGTTGGATGCATTATCTTTTATGTGAAGTTAATAAAAATGTGTCTGTATATATAAGCATTTTATCTTGGAATTAGCAATATGATATACTATTTAGATGTGTTTATTTGAGCATTAGCTACTGCAAAAACAGTACCTTAATTTAAACTAGAAATGCATTAATATTTGTTATATTTCTTAAATGTTACGGCAGTCCATAATAGCTAAAGCGGGGGGGGGGGTAGGGGGGGTCTAAATTTGTTAAATTTAGTCTTAGGATTGTTACCACAGTTAACCGCATAGATATATTGACTTTAAGGGAACATTTGAATGTCATTGGTCAACAATTTTATATTGTGATTTTCTTTCTTTTATGCTTAAAAATGTCTGCAATGACATTCTATAATGAGATTTAAATATAATACATTTCTCATTAAATAATACAAAATGTAATGGAGGGGAAAAAATAATGATCAAAGACAGCATACCTTCACATAACCAAAAAAACGTACAATGAGATAATATTACAGCTACTATGAGAAACCTAATAGTTGCACAATCCATTGTGTGAAAAAGAAATAACGAAACTATGAACTACATTTCAGAACTGATATATTCAAGCAATGCAATTTCAATGTTGAAAGTCCAAAATTGGTAAGAAAAGAACAGTGACGTGCACAGATTCTTTAATCTAGATTCCATTGAGACTCCTAAAAGAACGTCCTGCGCCAGATGTGTATCAAATGTTTTTTTTTTCCCGAAGTCAATAACTAAGCCTAGTCATTTAATAAGTAAGTGGTGTGTTAGTCATCGTGTATATAAATTAGTATTTTCCGTTTTGACTTTGAACGTTGAAACATAAAATTTCAACAACATCAAATGTTACAAACTCTGACATCGGTTGTCTTTGTTTTTTGTTCTTTTTTGAGGGGGTTAGACGTCAATCTTAAGAACAAACTGATAGTCCCAGGAAGGGGGTGCCGATGGGGGTGTGCGCCCCTAGTGTCACTTATTTCTTTATATCGAAGCGAAGCATTTTCAGCCAACTGCAGAGGTTGTTTTTCTCTATCTTTTTTTTCTGGTTGGCAGCCGGACAAAATATAACTTTTGACATTATAGATATTTTAACTATTGTTTGAAAACCTTTTTTTTTTTTTTTTTTTTTTTTTTTTTTTAAAAAGACAAAAAAAAAAAAAATTTTTTTTTTTTTTTTTTTTTTTTTTTGGTTGGAAGACGGAAAAAATATAACTTTTGAAATTATAGATATTTTAACTATTGTTTGAAATCTTTTTTTTTTTTTTTTTTTTTGCTTTTAAAAGACAAAAACAAAAAAAACTTTTATTAATTCCAAATTAATATAATCCAGCAATACACATAGAGGAGAAATTTTAACTTGCTCGTACAGTTTAATTGACAAGTCCTCCCTAAGATACATATCTCAGTTATGATCCTAAGTGCTATGTCCGTTCAAAATTATTAGATATTAGAAACGCGGTTAGAGTTTACACCTAAATTGGGAGTAAAACTCCACTATCAAATGCAATTATTTTACCCCAAACACACATTTTCACACAGATTTGTGTGTTACCCTTATAGCTGTCTGAGTAATTGCCTTTGTTCCTTTACTGACGGCAGGTCAGCAGCTGCTGGCTTTGGTCCAACCTAGGTGTTTTATTTCCTCATATCCAGCAGTATCTAGTGGGCGTTGCCCTATCCGTTACCTGGGTAAGCATCTGATGGGCGTCCACACGAAAATTGTATTTTATACAGGTGAAAATATTCATTAATTTTAGTAGAAGTGCCTTACGCGTCTTCCAGCGAAAATTCATTCTCAATGTTTTTGCTACAAGTAGCCTTACGGCTGACATTATCTTTACGGCTGCGTTTATTTCATAGGCACTAACATAGATCAAACTTCTTACGGCATAAGCTTCAACTTTTAAAATTATTGATAGATTTTTATTTTAAAATTTGACTGAGCTTGTTTTTTTATTGAAATAAATTTCTTTCATTTTTTTAAAAAATATTCTTTCTCACAACTTGTATTTTTTTCACTTCCTCCCTAGTGTATTAAAAGACGACCATTTGCTGGCTTCCAGTGACTACAGGCTGTCCCTTCTTTACATACTGCCTAAAGTCTGATAGAAAATACCTGGTACTGGTATGTTTAACTTACTAATAACGTCACATTTAGACATAGACGTCAGTGGGTCGTCGCGCGCGAGCTCTTAATCCCACCCCCCGGCCCCCTCCCGGCGCCCAGCACACCCCTACACGGGCCGGCGCCGGGTCCCCCAAGTGCGGAAGTAAGCCTGGGGGACGTCCGGTCGACCGAAAACACTGCGTCTAATTAATTAAAGCGTTCGCGTTCAGAATGGCGTTGCCACCCCGAACCGTCCTGGCAGTCTTTCGCTCGGAACAAAAGTTACGATGAAACAGTCGCCTAGTAGTGGCTTTCTCAGGGCCGCGTAGTTTTAGTCATGTGATATATTAAAGTTTATTTCATTTTTAAATTAATATTTTTATATTGATTTCTATTTTATTTCTGTGTGTGTTTGGAAAGGCTGTGTGTATGGTGGAGGGGGGATTGCTTCCCTTAAATGTTGACTAATTTTTTTCTTTTAGGAGCAAGAATATTTGATTTTTATTAACAGGCTATTTTCTTTGCAAGTCTAAGCAATAAAAAGTTAATTTCAAAATAATAATACATTTAGTCAATGTCTTCACCGATAAGTCCAAGATGACTAGAGTTGGGTTGTATTTTTTTTAAACATAGAATGAAATAAGTAAATGGTGCAAACGTCATCGAAATGCAGACACTTTTAATTATTAATTTATTACAATAACAAAATATGTTTGACTAAGAAGAAAAAAAACAGTTAAGGTAAATAATTCATTTTATGTAAAGCCCCAATTCCAAAATATAGTGAAGTACCATATTCTTTAGTACATGATATAAGAATTTGTAGATAATAAATAAATAAAAGGTGAATTATTACAGTAATGTCGTTATTTTCATTTTAAGATATTGCTACGTTTATCGTGAACGAAATGAGCGAAGAGTATGGGAAAACCTAAAAATATGACGCTACAAAAGAAAAAAGTATCGGCAAGAAGCATTTTTGAGTGAACAAACAACAGCAAAAAATTATTTAACAATTTTAAATAACATTTAGCTGTAATGTAGTTTTCAGAATTCAAGATGAGAGGACAGCAAGAACAATGCCTTAACCTAAATAAACCTTCACATTTGACTTCTTATTTCCATAGTAAGCTCGATATGTGTTATATACATTTATATAAATGTATAAATAAACACACACACACACACACATTTATGTAATATATATACTTGTAATGAGACTTGGTTGGATTCGCAACATCGACTTAAATTTTCAGTTACAGTAAAAGTAGCTTTTCAGAAATCAGGTTACCTACCCTGAATCGGTATTAGTGCTATTTTTTGCCTCAAACACAGAAGAGTTCTCAAACTGGAAGTAATTTTGAAACAAGCACGAAGTACGTAGCGTAAAGGACAAAATATTGATGTTAATTTTAACAAAAATAATAATATATTTTGTTACCTTACCTGAGTCTTAAGCTTTCCAGTCAAGTCCCAGTTATTTTAGCTACCTTCTCCCAGTTCATGTCAGCAGATCTGAGCAGATGGTTTAAGTAAGTTTAAATTTTGTCCCGCTTCCATGTTCTCAGTACAGGTGGTCATATTGGTAGGAAAGAATAAATCGAGTGCTCTTGCTCTAAACTCTATGCCTGTATGGCTCATACGTAGTTTCTTACGTAAAATTACAGTTCAGGTGTATATATTATTTCTAAACGCATTTCGTATTTTCTCATGTAAATTTACATGTAGCCTAGTGGGCCTAGGCTGACCAAATCATGAAATGAACAAAGGGGACACTTTCAAGGACGGATTTTTTTTTTTGGGGTGGGGAATACCATCCAGCTAAAGTGGGATCTGGCGGGCAATTCCGCCGGAAACTGTTTATTGAAATATGGGCTGTTTCAGATTTAGCGGCCCACGTCAACTTTGTTACGATTAGGATAGGGATCGATTTAGGATTTGGGTTAGGCATAGGGATAGATTTAGGGTTTTCTGAAAATGTGGCTGAAGAAAGTAGGGCGTGCCCATCTGGCGATGCACACATTTGGAGCGACAAAACAACAGAATTGAAAATTGAAAGATTTACTGAAGAAACTGGTGCCAACATAACAACTGATGATCATTCTCAGCGCGCCTTCTTTCATCAACTCTTTGAAGAACAATTTTTTCAAACAATTGCTGATCAAACAAATGAGTATGCTAGACAAAAGATTTAACAGATAGATGATCGTGCATGGGTTCCAACAAATGCAATCGAAATGCAGGCCTATTTTGGTCTGCTCATACTTATGGGGATCCACAGTCTTCCTCATTTGGAAATGTATTGGTCGACGGATCAGAGGTTGGGAGTGCCAGGTGTGAAAAATGTGATGCCTCTCAAGAGATTCAAGAAGCTGGAGCAGTACCTACACGTGGTTGATAACAACAGAGCTGACGGCAATGACAGCCTCCACAAGATTCGGCCTCTCATCGCCATGGCTAATTGGACATTCTTACAAAGTTACAAGCCTAAAAAAGAAATCGCCATCAATGAGGCAATGGTGCCATTCAAAGGCAGGAGCACACTGAGACAATATCTACCAGGTAGACCAACAAAATGGGGAATGAAAGTATGGTGTGCTTGCGAGTCAGCAACTGGTTACCTCCTGCAATTTTCTGTCTACTGTCTACTAGATGGTGGCACTCTGCATAGACTGGGCCATGATGTAGTGATGCAGCTTGCTGCCCCCTTTTTGGGAAAGTATCATCACCTCTCTTTTGATAACTTTTTTTCATCAGTTGCGCTACTGACTGGCCTTCTCCGAGAGCAAACTTATGTGGCTGCAACTATCAGAAATAACAGGAAAGATCTGCCTTTGGCATTCAAGGAAAAGATAAAAATGAGGCAAGGGGACCATCAAGTCTTCCAGAAATACAATCTGCTTGCTACAATGTGGCATAATAAAAGGGATGTCTTCATGCTCTCCAGCAACACCTCACACACACTGGACAACGTCAAGCGATGGGACCGGCACACTGGCACGAGAAAGCTTGTGCCCTGCCCTGCTGTCATCAAACTCTACAACCAATACATAGAAGGCATATCAAATGAGGGGGTACTACACTACACTGAAGAAGTGCATAAAATACTGGCGCTACCTCCTCTGTTTTATCTTTGATTCATCCATAAACAATGCTTTCATCCTGTTCAAGCAGACCGCAGCAAAGACAAGCAGACGCTACTCCCTCCTGGACTTCCGTCTGGATTTATCTGAACAACTCATCGCAGGATTTTGTAGCAGGAAGAAGGCCGCATCAAAGAGAAAAGGCCTAGCGGTGGCCCCAGAGAACGTTCACAATCACAAGCTTGTGAAGTTTGGGGGCAGGAAGAAAGCCTGCGTGTCATGCAAAAACGCTAAACGTCGTACTTTAGCCAACGAGCCATTGAAAGTTCATATGGCTGTGACGTGTTTCAAGTGAACTACTGTAGAGACACTTGTTTTCCCCAGCATGTTGGAGGCCAGTGAGCAGATGGCAGAGTGTTTGTAAACAGTGTATAGATGACTGACAATCACAAACAATATGTTGTATGTTGTAAATAAGTGTGTTCATGTGTGGTTTGC